ATTTTTACTCACTAAAAGGTGAAACAAAAACACACACACCTAGTCATTCCTGCCACCCAATTCAGTAGGGATGACAGGAATAAAATTCAGGCAGAGGTAAGTTAAAATTTTGGAATCACATATTAGGACAAAGCTTTCTTTAGTAATTCTAAAGATGTCAATTATAATGCACAAAGGACATCTCAGAGCAGTGGGTCTCAGATGCAGGTTACAAATACCTCCTGTATATGCGTTCCCATTTTTCTTCTCCCAAGGTCTCTTTGCTCTTTAAGTCTTAAATTCTAAATAAAATCTTTATGTTAATATAATTCATGTGCCATGTAATTCATCAATTTCAATTGTGTAATGCAATGGTTTTTCTTATATTCACAGAATTATGCAATCATCACAAGAATCAACTTGGAATATTTTTATCCCAACTGAAGAAACCTTGTGTCTGTTAGCAGTCAGTCTCCTTTTTCTCACAGTTCAATTCAGCCCTATACAGGTACAAAAGCATCTACTGTTTCTGTAGTTTTATCTATTATTATATGTTAGGACATCTTTTCCACTTCAAAAACAATTCTCTGGAATTCTGTGTATTCAGTTTTCTGTCCCTGTTACAAAATACCTAAAAAATAACCCTAACAGATGAAAAGTTTGTTTTAGTTCAGGATTTCAAGATTTCAGTCTAGGGTCAGTGGGCGCCGCTGCTTTTCAGCCTATAGATAGTGAAGCAGAAACAGCCCAACAGCAGGGGGTGACAGAGAAAAGCTGCTCACTTCTTGGAAGCCAAGGAGCAGAGAAAAAAGATAAGAGCCAGAGAAGAAGGGGTAACGGACAAGATATAGTACCTAGGGTCATGGCTCCATGACCACTCCGCTCAACTAGGACTCAGCTCCTGAATTCTATAGGCTCTCACCAATTCTATCAAATTACTCTCTTTCAGTGGGTCAGTCCACAGGGACAGTTAGAGCCCTCACATTCCCATCACCTTCTGAAAGCTCCACCTCTGACACATGAGACTGTAGGGGCACATTTTTGATCTAAACCATAATACAGTCTGAGTTTTACTCTCTGTGGTCACATACATATACATGCCAGGAAGGGGGAGAGAGAGAGAGAGAGAGAGAGAGAGAGAGAGAGAGAGAGAGAGAGAGAGTTATAACCACTGCTTACAAGAAGAGAACTTCACTATCATGCCAGCGGGGACCAGGACTGACACTCATACCACCATTAAGCTGCACAGACTCACGCAGCACAGCAACTCAGATGTGGGAGCTACCTCTCCTGTGGCCCAATTCATGCCATGGACTCCAACACTGCTGCCACTCAGCATGACCCCAAGCTTCAGACCCACACTCCATGTAACTGTGACAGTTGCTAAAGGCATGAAACAAACTTAGATGTGTTTATTCTTGTAAAAGTACTAGGGCCTTGGATAGGGTCAGGAAAAGTGTGGTTCTTGGTTGGAACTGTCCACTTCCTAGCTCAGCTCAGTGTGCAAGAACTATAATGTCACTAACCTCAAATTGGCAGGAAACTGCAGCAGCTTCTTGCCAAAGGGGTGGACTTGAGTAGGGTGAAGAATGCAGCAAGATCCTTCAGTCACTGCTCACCAGACAGCTGCCACCTCCCCTTGGCTCTTCACACACTGTTGCACCCGGAGGGAATTTGCATCATAAGTCTGAAATAAAAGCTCAGTTAGAATCTTGCTTTCTTTACTAGGACAACTCAGTTTAGCTTCTAACAATGAGGTGCCCCACTCATCTCCTGGGTCTGTTAATGCTCTGATCCCTGGTGAGGACAGTGGGGCTGGGTAAGGAGCTGGGGTGAGAGGAGTGAGTTCTGGGGCCCAGCTGCTGCCCAAGTGTCTTCTGTCCAGGTGTGAGAGGTGCAGGTTTTGTCCTCCAGGATGGGCCCTTAAAGTTGAGCATGAGGGAATTTCCAGAAGGAGCAGGAATGCATGCTCTGGTAAGGACTCTGCCAACTATGCAGGTAGATGGTGTGGAAGACTTCTAGAGGCCCCTTAATGCTTTGCCTCACTGGCTCCAGCCACACTGGATGCAGAAGCAGGAGGGACCATGAAGTAATGCAAGTGCATTCTGAGCAATCAGTCATGATGAGAGGGAGAGCTGACTGACAGCATATCCTGGTCCGCCCTGTCTGCCCAGTTGTCAAGGAAACAGCATAAGAAACAGAGAACTCATGAAGACCAATACAACAGAAGATGAATAGATGTTGAATGAGAGAAGCCATATGACACTTAGGTGTATGTGTCTGATTTATGTAGCTTAACATTGTGTTTTCAAGTTGCTTGTTTCTAAAAGCTTGTTCATAGCAGGAGGAAGGATAATAAGCTTTCCAATTTATTTTAATTTTTTAATTAAGGAATGTAGTCCATATAATCAAAAAGGAATAAAGAATACAAATATATTTTAAATTAAAACTCTGATTTTCAAACCCAACCAATATAGTACAAGAAAAGAAATTGCAAGCCAGTATTAATTATAATTAAGCCAAATATCCTAAGTAAGATAATATAAAATTTACTATAACAGCATGTTAAAAGATTTTAGCTTACACTCCAGGGACGAGGTCCTCGGTCCCTTTCCTTCATTAGAAAAGTCCTGTTCAAGTGTAGGTACCTCGTGATTCATTTCCTCAGACCTGCACAGGACATGCATGTCGCTGAATGTGAGGGCAGAACGGGGTTTCAGACAATTCCGTCATTGACCGTTAGGTCATTCTGAGACTTCCATGATTGTTCATTGTCCTAAGGACGGGAGTCTACTGGAAAAATGGGCAGTGGGAAAGGTGTGAAAGTATTCCCAGATGAAAACAGTAAGCTATGACAATGAATAAGGAAGCAGCAATTATAATGCCTAGGACAAGTCTGCAGCCCTGGACATTCTTTTCAGACACATGCAGAGCCTTCTGTGTCATCACTGTTGGGCACTTTCGCCCTCTTGTGGTCATGTGTGGAGAGACACCCTGAAAAGTTTTCCTGTTCTGTGACAGCACCATTTTTAATGTATTACGTACGAATTTCTTTCTTGCACATTTCAAACCATTTTTAATTGTTTGCTTCCTTGTTGAAATACAACAATCATAAGCGTTTTGAAGGCACTGGAAATGACCTTACTCGCGCCTGCCTGTCCGCCGCCCTGGTATCTAGACCCTGGGATTCCGAGACAATGGCCTAACTAATCATTTTCTTCTCTATTTCTATTGAAACTATGCTGTGACTTGGCACACACTGAAAATCCGAGAGAGTAGGGATTGTTTTTCACCGCTCCCTTTCTTCTCCTGGCACCGCCGAAGGCAGCCCCTATTGAGGGTTGCTAGGGCCCGGGGTCCTAGGTTTCTATGACTACGCAAGGCTTTCCGGGAAAAGGCTAGGCCTCCGGCGCCCGGCGGGAAACACAATTTACTGGTACCGGTAGTAAGTGTCCATTTCCCATCGGTTTAAATGAAGAAATGATGAAAGCCCTAGCGCTGCCAGAACCCTGAGTCTGTGAGGGCAGTGCTTGTGGGAGAGGTTGGGGTCCCTAACTGACTGTCTAGAGCGCGCCACCGAGCTGCCAGCGGCCAGTGTGTAGGGTCAGCGGGTAAGGTGTGCGGGTGTGTCCTTCCCGGCCTCTGCCCGGACCCTGACGCCCATGCAAGCTTCTGAGTCAGGACAGATGGCGTGAGAGATCACAGAGGACTCCGAAAAAGGGTAAACCACGGAAGAGGGATTCTGAAACGCCAATCTAAACATAAGCATTTTAATGAGTCTTTTGTTTATTTTGTTTTCTCTACAGGACAGTGTAGTAACCTGAAAGAGCCAGTAGCAGACTGATTTATTTCTGAGTTATCTTTCTGGAGGAATATGTCACATTACAAAAAAGAGTGATAGGAAGCATTATTGTGTCTCTCCCGAAAACGCCAACCTCACCGTTAAAGTCCCCACCATCTTATGACCCTAGGAAGTCAAAAGTATCTGCCTTCAAGGAGACAAGAGGTAAAGTTCAAGGACCCCAAAGGCAAATGATTACAGTCATTGCTGGGTGTGGTGGCACAGGCCTGTAATCTCAGCACTGTAGGAGGCTGAGGTGGGAGGAACCTAAATTCCAGCCCATTTTAGGCAGTTTAGCGACTTATCAAACACTATCTCAAAAAACAAACCAATCAAAATAAAACAAAACAAAAGAGGGTTGGCAATGCAGCTCAGTGCAAAGGCCCTGGATTTGATCCCCAGTACCATGCTGCCCCCACACCTGCCAAATAACAGCCACTGACAAACCACAATCCAGGCACCCGTTTTAAAAATAAGATTCAGATGTTATATATATTTATATATATATAATTATATATATAATTATAATAATTATATATATATTTTCCCTTATCCTTTTTTTGTTTTCTAAGAAGTCTCTCTGTGTTGGCCAGGCTTGATCTCAGTGATCCTCTGACACAGCCTCCCTGTTTCAAAAGCAAAAACCAAAAAATAGTGGAAATGGTATAACACATGCAAGTTAGTACAAAATGACTGTACCAGGTTTTAGTAGTTTTTCTAAATGAGAGTATTTCATCCCAGCACTCTGGAAAGCTGGGCCAGGAGGATGGCACATTGGAGCCCAAACTCAGCAATTTAGCAAGACCTTGTCTCAAAAAAAAAAAAATAAATAAATAAACAGGCCTATGGGGATGTGGTTCAGGAAGGTCTTGAGTTAAAATCTTAAGTACTTCAATATATAGAATATATTGATATAGATAGATATAGATATATAGATATAATTACAGATCTGTACCGGAATAAGAATCAGCTAGAGTCACCCCTCCCCTTGTTGGGACAAAGCTTTGTCTAACCTCACCTTCCCTAGTTTTTAGGGGAGATTTGCTAAGGTCCCACCCAGCACTTCCCGCCCCCTTTCTCTTTCTCTCTCACTGTTAATTCCTTAACTTGTGACTACATACCTTATGTAGCAAAAAGCAATTTGCAGTGTGATAAAGGTTCAGGACCCTGAGATGGAGGAAATCCTGGTTTGTCAGAGTGAGCCCAACCTAGTCACCCAAATCTTTAAAGTGGAAAAGGTAGTCTCTCTCTCTCTCTCTCTCTTGATTTGATAATATAAACCTTCATGGGTTTTTTTTAAATCAAAGTGTCCTTATAGAAATTAATGTCAGTTGTTCTATGTGGGAGGCATTAAAAATGGTGGCAGCTCAACTCTGACTGAATTCATAGAAGGCCTTTTCCAACCTTATACCTCCTAACCATTTTTTTCATTCCTCTGCCCTAGTTAAGCTGAGTAGAACTATTTTTACAGTTTTTGTTGCAATGATTTGCTCAGATTGTTCCACTTTTAATTTCCTACCATCCTAGATCTACTTTTAATTTTCTTTTGGCTGGAGGTTGAACCCTGGGTTTTGTGCATTCCAGTTAAGGAGTCTATCATGAGATATATTCCAGTTCCTACTTTTATTTTTGAACCCAATTCAGATTCCTCCCAACCTCAGTACAATGCAATTATTTTCCCCTTTAAACTTATAGAAGAAAAATTACTAAATAATTGAGCAGTTTGTAGGAGAGGCTTCTTTGTCATTTTTACATCAAAGGAAAAACATGTTCATTCCGATCATTTTAAGACTATCCCAGTTAATTAAGTGAAGTGAGTGTAATTTTCAACTTCGAATTTTGTATAATTCAGGTTTATCTTTGTACCTGAGCTTTTGAACCTGTGTCTAATGTGCTGTGAATAGGACAGGCCATATATTTCTCTTATGCAGTGTTTTAAGTATTACTTGTTACTATTCTTGTCAATTAGAAGGAGTGTTTCTCTCTTTTAGAAATAGATAGATGAGGATGATAAGGCATTCTAGGATGCTCCATTTAAAAAACTACAATAAGAGCTTTACTTGCTCATTATTTTCTTAGGACTTCCTGACATAAGGGAGAAAAAAAAATATCGTGGATAGTTCCAAACCCCTTCCTTCTTCCCTTCAGAATGAGTTCATCCCTGAGGAAGTTCTGCTTTCTCTGAGCTATGCAACCAGTGCTGGTCCTTGTCCAGAAAATTTACTGCCTCCTACGAAAGTTAAAACCCCTAAGGTGCATGTGTATGTATGTAGAGTACTTGGGAACATTATCTTTTTGTTATCTGCTTCATTAAGTGTGAGCATATATTAGGTATTCCAGATGGTCTTAAAATTTTTTTGAAAGTAATTTTCTAGATTGAAAGCTTAGATCTTTTACACCAATATTTCCAAGGCTTATTTCAATTAACCTGTTTTTATGTAAATTTAACAAAACGATTTTTACTACTCATCAGTCTTAATATATTCATTCATTTTGGAATTATCCTAGTTTCAATCTTGTCCACGTTATTGAATAAGTTCTTTCTTTCTTTCTTTATTCCATAGAGTATCCAAATTCCCCTAATGTAACTATTCAAAATCAGTTAATATTTCATTTGACTAGTGCACCCTCTGCTGGACATTTATGTGTTTTTGATTTTTCCCAGGGTACCCTTCCATGTGCTATAGACCATGTCTGGCAGCACCCGATTCGAAGGAATAAATTCAAATACCTGATTGACCATCCTGACTTCCTAACAGGAGCTGCAGGGTAAAGAAGGAAGAGGGCAGGATAGAGGCAGATAAATAGAGTTGTTTTCTCATTTCATATGCTATACTTGGTAGGGGCAGGATTGAAAATATAAAATCGTTGATTATAAAACATGCTGTATCTTTGATAAATCAGAATACAGTCTAGAAGGACAAAGGATCACCATTTTGTATGTGGTTATCATCAATATGATAGCTATAGGGCCAGGGATTTAGCTCAGTGGCTCTATGTGCCTGCCTTGCAAATGCAAGGTCCTGAGTACCAAAAAAAAGAAAAGAAAAGAAAGAAAGAAATATGATAGTTCTAAATGCAGACTGTACATGATTAATTTTTTTGCATCTATTTGTAATAATTGTCTTAATACTGTTCTGTTCCTTATTTTTCTCTGTTAAAATTTATAGGGTCTGTAGGTAGAATTACTTCATAATGCAATTTTTTGGGTACTGGGGATTGAACCTTGCCTTCACACGGAGCTACATCCCATCCCTTTAAACATTTTTTTTAAATTTTGTAATTGGTGCCACTAAGTTGACCATGCTTGAGCTTGTAATGCTGCTGTCTCAGCCTTCTAGAGTGCTGGGATTGTAGGCATGTGTCACCATACCAGGTGGTGGATGCTTTTAGTGCCTCCTTTTTTTTAGTGCATCGTAGAACAAACATAGCTTCATGACATGGAAAACCTTGAAAGACAAGTGTTTAACTCCTGGTTCTCTTCAAAGGGAACCCTTAACTTTACATGATTTCAGATCAAGTCAGCAAATACTATTTGTTTTTTTTTTAATGATTGGAAACATACTCTAAATGTCAAATTTTTTTTCCTGTGAAGATTGTGACCTGTTCATTTACTAAGTATTGTTTTTTGTTTGTTTGTTTGTTTGTTGTTGTTGTTTTTTCCAGTACTGGGGATCCAACTCAGAACCTTGTGCTTGTGAGGCAGGCCCTGGAATCACTGAGCTAAATCCCGGGCCCCTAAGTATTATTTATCTATGGATTTTTTCCCTAGGCACACCTCTCTATATGTCACTTTCTTTCTTTTTGTTTGTTTGCTTTTTCCCATCATTTTCATCTGAAAGGGTTACTGTACTTGGATAGGTTATCTAG